CCCCCCCCCCCAAAAAAAAAATTATCCTGGATCCGCGCCTGTAGCGTTGTCTGAGCAATATTCTGAAACGTATTATTATTTTTTTTTTCAGTAGAAGCCACGAATAATAATAAATTAAAATATTGTGCAGTGCTCATTTAAATCACACACTCATAAGTGTATCGTTGTAGAAATATTAGTCAGCTACTAGCAATTATTAATAATATCATAATATATAATAAATTTAAGAAATGTATAACCCACTACTATAGCAATATTCTATTCAACTATAATCAGTCTTTCTAAGCGGTTATAAAATTACCCATGAAAAAATAAATTCAAAACAAATATAAGATTTAAAAATTACAACTAATCATAAATAAAATACAATAATAAATAATCTTAGCACGAATTCATTTCATTTATACTTACTACTAATAACCTGAATTAACCATTAATTTTACGATACTCAGAATTAATATTAAATCTAATTTGTAATAATAAAAGAAAATGTATGAATATATTAATCCTATAGCATGGATGTACAACATTGAAAAACAGAAAAGAAACACACTTATCTTATGTGCTATAAAATATTAAAGTAGCTTAAGCTCGTTAGATTCAAACATGCACTTAACTGATATTTTAATAGCAAAATTTATATTCAATTAATCACTAGTATTCCATAAATATACATTATTTTTATTATTTAAATTATTTTTAGAAAAAAACAAAATTATGATATTTTATAAACTATATTACTCATAGAACTATATTGAAACAATTTTCGTGTTTAATCAAGTAGTTTTCAAAAGAATTTATGAGTTTCGGCTTTAAGTCATCTTCAGATACCTGTATAAATAATGAAAAAACTAAAAAAAAAAAACAACAATTGAACAAATTAAACACGAAATATAGAACTTTAAATTTGGTATTGGATTTATTTTATTATTTTAATGAATAAATATATAAAATAAATTAAATATCTGTAAATAATGTAACTATTAAAATAAAATAAAAAAGTTAATAATTGAAAAAATCACAATACCTATGGGTGCCATAACTATTTTTTACATGGGGGTAACAATTTAATAACTAAAACTCGGCTCCATGATTGATATGTCGTACGTCGGTAGTACCCCAACGTAGACACAAAGGTTTACTAAAGTTTTATGTATATATATATTGACGATGAGTTCGCCGTTCGAGCTCTTCCCGAGTCCTCCCGTTGNTTTATTCACAATTATATATATAATTTTTATTATATTATTAATAAGTATTGATAGTATAATAAAATATACTTAATATAATAATTACAATTTTTTAGCTTCGATGCGATGCTGGGAAGGTATTAATTTTACCATAATGTATTTTTTTCAAGATTCAAAAACCTAAATTATTAAAAAAGTGATTGTTACATAATGTTTGGTAATATTTGAAAAATCAGGTGTTAAATAAATGACAACAAATTCTTATTTTTGTTTTATTTAATAAAGAATGTTTTTTGTGAATTTGTATTAAAAAGAATCATAGTTACTTAATAAGTTGTATTAATTTGGCAATATTTAATTATAATTTAAAAACTTACATCTAAATCATTTTAATATTATTAACATTCTTTTTTTATCAAAAGCAATGTTATTTCTGTGTCAAGTTATGAAAAATTTAAACTAAACATTTTAAACATGTAACATAATAAGTTGACATTTATTNATAATTTTTACTAAACATTTTAAACATGTATCACTCTGACGAAACAACTATTAAATTCTAATGATATAAATATGATAATAATCCTTAATATATAATACAATCAACTTGCTGCCTTTAATGACATCAAAAATAGGATCTATGATTAATTATAACCCAAAATCACCAAGTCTTTGAATGGTCTACCATAAGTTGACACTAGTTAGACTCAAACATTTATTAATATGTATTTGTTAGTGGCAATATTATTTAATACATTCTAAACATAACATTTTTTAACATTTACTCTTTATAAAACTCAACTATTATATAATGTAAAATTTCAAGTTCTTTGACAGTTTTCATGTTTAAATCTTTATTTAGGTTATTATTTGTTACATACCACGGCGCACCAGTTAACACTCGTAATGTTATATTTAGAAAGGATTGTATTGATCGAATGTTGGATAGTTTAGCTGATCCCCATATGTGAATACCATAAGACCAGACTGGTCTGATAATTGACTGATAAATAAGTAATTTTGTTTCAAGAGGTAATTTAGATTTTAGTAATGGACGAAATAGATGAAGTCTGCTGTTGACATTTTTCCTTTTGTCTTCCAGATGAGGTCACCATGTCAGTCGTTTGTTCAAAATTATGCCTAGGTACTCAGTTTCATTATGGGTATTAATTACTGTATTGTTTAATTTTATATCTGGGCATTTATCATATTTGAGGGTGAATGTTACATGACTTGACTTATTCGCATTTATTTTAATTTTCTAGTTCCTAAACCAAAATTCGATGATGTTGACGTGTGTTTGTAGATGATGGGTAGCTTCAGTAATATTACTATGAGTAAAGAGTATAGCTTTATCTTTAGCAATAGTAGCAAGAAGAGTATTAGTAGACTGGGGTATGTCTGTGGTAAAAATATTGTAGAGGTCAGGAGACAAGTCACTTCCTTGAGAAACACCTGCTTGAATTTTGTAGTAAGAAGAATTTGCACTTCCTTGTCTTACCGTACATTTTCTTTCATAGAGGTAAAACTTTATTATTAAATATAAAGGCGCTGGGAAAATTTTTTTTAATTTGTAAAGCAGCCCGACATGCCACACCCTATCAAAGGCTCGGGCTACGTCGAGAAATAGACCAGTACAGTATTTGCGGTTTTCGAATGCTGAGGCTATTGTATTAGTGAGCCTTTGGACTTGGTGTACAGTGGAGTGTCTCACACCGATTCCAAACTGTGTGTTGGGTAAGATGTGGTGCTCTTGTAATATTGACTTAATCCTTTTAAGTAGAAGTTTTTCAAATAGTTTGCTTAATATGGATAACAGTCTGATAGGACAATATAATGCTGCAATGTTTTTTGGTTTCCCTGGTTTAGGTATAAGAATTATTACAGCCATTTTTCAAATTGACGGTAAGTAAGAAAGACGTATCATACTATTGTAAATACATGTTAGAAGGAGAATACCTTTTTTTAATAGGTTCATCAATACTTTATTTGTGATTAGGTTAACCCTTTAGGTGATTTTTTAATAATTGCTTCAATTTTTCCAGTGCTGAATGGTTTAATAGGAAGAGACATAGGTAGAGGACATGAGATAAAGTAATTAACCATATTAATATGAATAGAGTCAGGCTTAACGTCTTTATGTGGTTTATATGTACAGATATAATTTAAATGTGAATTTTAATATATGAGAGAAAATATCCTTTTTAATATATATGATAAAAATCCAAACAATTTATTTGTGTGACAAATTAGTTTTTGGTTATAAGTTACAGAATTAATTAAAAGCTTAGTTAGAAAAACACCGTGTTTTGGTGCTAATGTATTGAGGTTTGATTTCGTAACAACAGGCTCAATCCGTCTTCTTTAACACAAACAAAGTTTTTAAAATATTGTGAATTTTTTAGTCAGTATTTTTTTAATAAAAATTTTACCGTTAATAAAAAAGCTAAAAAAATCAATCTATTATTGAAAAATAAAAATAATGTTTAAAATAACTAAGTAAATAAAAAAAAACAAATAAGGTACAACTTTTTGTTTAAACGTGTATTTATATTTTAAAAAATAGAAATTTAAAAATATACATTTGAAATATTCGTGGGATTTTATTATACTTAACCAATATTTCTTTAAATTTATATCAAATTAAAATTTTCTATTCTATAAAAATTGATTGTTATACAGCTTATAGTTTATACATCAAAATGATAATTTTTATTTTAGTTATACTCATTGCATATTCAAACCTTACAGTTGCGGTAAATCATACATATATGCATTGCAATTTTTCTAAGTATATGTTTAATTATTTCAAATACAGTGAGCAATATCTATTTAGCTTTGATAATACGATTTCTGAAACTCAACTATCTACCTATGGAATGGCAATCAAAACCCACGATGAAATCATAATGATCATGTTAGAAACATTACGAGAAATGAATAATACGAATTGTGCAAGAGATTTGACAACGGTTAATTTATATTTGAACAATGTATCGGGATCCTTAAATATGATCGCTAAAAACGAAAATGGTGAATTTAGTAGATCTGAAATTTCTAAAAATTTACTCAAAGGATATAAAATAATTCACCAATCAATTGTACAGCGATTAGAGTATTTTATCAAAGATAAATGTTCCAATGTATCCTTTGAAAATGATTTTATACTGTACACTAATTTTAAAAAACCAATTGAATATAGCTCGGAAAACTTACATTGTGTATTGGAACAGCTAAGAAAAAAAATCATTAACAACATAAAAGAATATTTAACTTTAAAAAGTATGTTTGCAATACATAACAATCCAATGTTAAAAAATTATAATGTCATTATGAAACATTTAGCGTTAGCATATGAAAGTAAACAATACAATCGTTTTCATCCAAAATATTTTTTGTTTTATGACTTAATGGAGAAACGTCCTCATATTTTTGAACTAGATCTCGCGTCAGGCTCCCAAGCAAAACAAAGAGTCACCTATAATGACAATGGCCAACTGAGCGACGTTTTAGACGAGCTGCGATTTACACCAATTTTAAAAAAAAGTGAAAACAATTATCGAATAAGGTTATCAGATATATTTCGATTTATCAAATACGATTTCAACTTGGACAATATAATAGTATTTCACTTATTAATAAATACAGCGACAGCTCGACCTATTTTTACGACCTTACGTAATTATATTTTGTTTATCAGACTGTTTATAAATTGTCAGAATTTAATAATGCAATATAATTTTTTTTATGATATCTATAAAATGGGTGAGGATATCGTTAATATTATGAATGAATTATTGAGTTTAAATTTGTTTAAACATCAATTTACAAAAAAAATAAGAAATTTTACTACTAGAACGAGAACACTTATTATGCATTTAAAATCACGCAATGATATATTTATAAATGAAGAAGTACCAAAAATGTCAAACTATATTTTCACATTTATAAAAATGCATTTTTTATGTTCCTATTTCACTCTGTTAGATGATATTACTTTCCAACAAGATAATATCATTGCAATTTACAATTTAATAGCTGAAAAAATAAATTCACTTACTATATACTTAACAAGATTAAGAGAATATCAATATTGCTTTGAAGTTGCAAATAGTCATATACATTTTGAATATATCAACCCACTCACTTTTCGATATTTTATAAAATATAATGTTCCGTATGGTAAGTAAATTTGTTAATTAAAAATTATATGTAAATTTAAAATCAAACTTCTGATGCGAAATTGTTTACAACATGAATTAATTATAAATAAGGTTGGGGACTTAATGCATTTTAAGTTTATTTATTAATTTTAAATTATTACTTTTCGAGTACTATATTTATAAATAAATATTTGTGTTTTTAGTAAATAGAGTAAATAGTAAATAGTAGTACATCTATTAATGTAGTTTATAATAAGTAATCATTTTCTATAATTAAATAAAAATATTAGTTATTTTTCCGCCAAATATACCTTCGAGACGTCAGGACACACCGTCTGAATTTATTGTGGTACTTTGGGACATTTTTTCGATTTGCAATTTATCAAGTCGATCTACACGTTGCGATAATTAAAAAATTTTAAATTAAAACAAAACATAATAAATAATGTTTAATTTTTTAAGCTTTAATTTTTTGAATTACTACAAACATATTTTAGTAATTAAAAATTTGATTTTAGAACAATTGGGAAATTTTGAAGACATATATCGTCCATTGTATTTCCCAAATAATATCACAAATGATAATAAAATACACGACAATCAAATTTGGGATGGTGAAAATTACAATAATGAGAAAAACAGCGATGATAATGAGATTATGGAAAAAAAAAATCAGACCTATTATTCTCCTAAATATTTAGAAGATTATTTACTTTACGCGTAACTTATAAAAGATCTAGGCTACACTCAGAAAAATTATGTGATTCATTTGATTAAATAAATAAAACATTTTTTTTAATAATTATTAATCTTTTCGTCATTATGACATTATGACATTTGTTCATAATTTTGTCGTTTTTAATTCTTTTAACAAAATCGCAATTTTTGAATATTTGAATGAGTTTCATTTGCTAATGACACTAAAGAATGTTGTAAGAAAATTATTAATCATAATCATAATCATAATAAGAACTAGGTTATACTTAGAAAAATTATTATGTGATTAATGAAAGGAATAATGATTACTATAATTAATAACACATATTTATAAGCAAAATTTATATTCATATAATCATTAGTATTTCATAAATATACATTATTTTTATTATTTAAATTATTTTTAGAAAAAAAAAAAAAAGGATATTTTATGAACTGTATTAGTCATAGAACTACATTGAAACAGTTTTCGTGTTTATCAAGTAGTTTTTAAAAGTATTTATTAGTTTTGGCTTTAGGTCATCTTCAGATTACTGTATAAATAATGAAAAAACTCAAAAAAAAAAAAAAAACAACAATTAAAGAAATGAAACATAAAATACTTTAATAAATAAATATATTAAATAATTTAAATAGCTGTAATGAAATAATCAAAAAACTAAAAAAAAAACAACAATTGAACAAATGAAACACGAAATATAGAACTTTAAATTTGGTATTGGATTTATTTTATTATTTTAATGAATAAATATATAAAATAAATTAAATAGCTGTAAATAATGTAACTATTAAAATAAAATAAAAAAGTTAATAATTGAAAAAATCACAATACCTATGGGTGCCATAACTATTTTTTACATGGGGGTAACAATTTAATAACTAAAACTCGGCTCCATGATTGATATGTCGTACGTCGGTAGTACCCCAACGTAGACACAAAGGTTTACTAAAGTTTTATGTATATATATATTGACGATGAGTTCGCCGTTCGAGCTCTTCCCGAGTCCTCCCGTTGGATAAACTGATCAGCCCCAATCTCTCTAATTAGTGGACCACTAAAGGGGTAGAGTTTAGACCCGTCAGCACGGTCTAGCTCAAAAGTAGCAGACTGAAGGGTGGCTCCTTGTCAGCCACCAGCACAACTACCTTTTTACTATACCCACTAAAGGACGGTTAAGCCCAAACACTAGCCAGCTCGTACACTAATTATTAAGATTGACTAAAGGACCAGCAGTCCAACCTAGACTCTAGCCGCACACACACACACACACACACACA